TGGGAGCATTTACAGGAGGACCAGTTGCTTTCCAGAGGGATTTCTTATTGGTCGCAGCGTCCCTGCTCCTCTCTGAGTGCTGGTCAGGCTCTAAGTCCTCTCTGTGTGTAATGAGATCTCTATCAGAGGGGAAACATGATCACAGTCTGAACGGGGGGGGGGGGGGGGGGGGGCAGGCAAAGATAGAGAAGGTGAGTTTCAGCAGCAGGGAGCCTTAACTGGACTCTCAGACTAATCCTGTTCTTCCTTCCAGTCCCCAGGTTTCATGGTGGCTCTCGCTCAACAGGTCGCGTCGGTTTCAATCTTCTCAGTAGCTGCAGCTCTGTGGTTTTAAAAGCTGCTACTGAAATCCTCGTTTCATTAAAACGGTCGTCACCCTGCATCTCAGAGGCGTCGACGGCTTTCAGAGCGCGTTGGAAAAAGAAACGATAAAGCCGAAACCAAATCTTCTCCTGAAATCTGAAAATACTTTGATAATCGCAACAGAAAAACAAATAATAACACCAAACTAACAGAGCGATTATAGTTAAATTGTTCCAGAGCGGAACAACAACAAACTTTCAGCCACATCATCTGAAAAAATGACACAATATTAGTTTTCTGGTCTGCGAAGAAATAAACATGCTTTAGAAATATCAGAGCACTAATCAAGTTCAGCTTAATCCCAAAGCCGCTGGAGCGTGATATAAACCGATGCTAAGGACCAGATGAGGTCAACAGGCAGCAAAGAGAGGCAGAAACCCGCAGAAACCCACTGTAATCAACACCAAAAGGCCTCCTCTACTTCACTTATTTTCTGTTTTTTTCTGTGGGCCTCGAAACCAAAGAATGTTTGCAAACTGTTCCTGAGTTTGGCCAAAATGTGAGGAGTTCAAACCCAGAGCAGGAGCCATTTTCCCTTCTCTTTTTGGAGGACTGTAACTCTGCAGAGCTGAACCGCCTGCTTGTGTTCTGACTGCTGCAAACAAGCCGAGGCGGTCGCAGGTCATGAGGTAAATATTAGCCGAGGAGGGTTAGGGGACAAGCAGGAGGCCCCTCGCGGCGACCTTGTCAGATTATGGTTAAATCGGCATCGCTGTGAGATTCCTAAGGACGCCGCGTCTGTGTGTGCGCGCGTGTTTACGCAGAGCTCCGACCCGAACGGATGGGACGTGATTAGTCATAACAAAGTGACATTTTCTGGGGTAATCCCACTCAGCTAAATGAGAGCTAATCCGATTTGTTCTGATCAAATGTTGGGGGCGCTTCTTTAGCTGCTTGGGAAAGTTGACACATCCAGCCTTCTCCTTCTGCACGGCTGCCCCCCCCATCCTGCCTTCTCCTCAACTCACTCATCCAGTCAAATTATATATGAAAAAGGTCTCATGCATCCTGCAGCCAAACAAAAGGGGGAAAAAAAAAGAATGTTACTTCTTATTATGTTTTTCTTTCAAGTCAGCGCCATGGTGAAGATATATGTTGCCTGCTCAAGCATGCTGGGGGGAAATCAATTAAGCAAGCCCCAGTCATTGATAACGCTGCTGCTGCTGCTGCTGCTGCTGCTGCTGGAGTGATTGCATCCTCACATGAAAATCCATAAAGGAGAGCTGCACATTAAAGAAAGACTCACACACATCCCAGTGGCCCAAACCTACTGCTGTTTCCCAATACTTCGCCCTCATAACTCAGGGCCTGCAGGGAGGCGCTGGTATTGTTAGATTTTGTGTGCATGTGGCACAGTGAGCATGCAGAGGGGCTAAGTTAATTTATTAGCTGAGGCAGCAGAGCTCCCCAAAGCAGGAAAAGGAAGCGAGGCGTCGTAAATCTGGATAAGGCACCTGATAGTGTACTGTACGTTTCTCTAGGTATACTGTTTCTATTATCACAGCGGAGCAATAGATGCCAACGAGACGGAGCTCAGAACAACAAGCAGGGAAGACGGATGCTGATTGTCGCGCATGTATTCCGCTCTTTTATTGCCTCCTCGCACCGTCCTGCTGACGGATAGGTTTCAAAAGAAAAACAGGTTTGTCTTTTTTTCTTATTGTGAAGTACTCCACACACACACACACACACACACACACACACACACACACGGTAAGATAATTGTCTATTGTTTTGTGAGCAGCAGGCAGCAGGATAATTAGCTGCAGAGAAACACTTTGCAGAGTGTATTATTGTTCCACTGTGAACTTTATGAAATATTCAGCCAACGTTGGGGGATTTTTACAAGGAGCGGAGAGAGAAAACAGATGGAGAAATGATCTTCCAAATCCTCCTGAAAAGCAGCGTGCTAACCTTCACAGACATTCCCTCCAGGTGACATCATCAATCAATAAATGTCTACTTTTTTTTTTTTAGGTGACATTTTTTTGCCTTTTGACTCCAGGTTTGCTGAATCTCCATCTTTCAGGAATGAACTCGTAAAATATAATATTTAGATCTTAATTAATAGATGCTGAAATTGGTTTTATGTTATACATAAAAGTCATATTTGCTCCTGCTGCGGCAAAGATTAACAGCTTATAACAAGATAAATAATATATTCCATATTTGCCTGGTTTTGATTTAGCTGCTGCTTTGCATTAAATTTGAAGCCTAAGAACCCAAACAGCACTTTATTCCAGCTACAGTGTTTGTGACCCTAATTTGATGTTTTTTATGATAGTAAAGAACTTTAAAAGATTTTTTTAAATTATCCTTCATCACTTTTCTTGCTTTAGGTCATAAAATGCCTTTTTTGTCCCTCATATATGAAAAAAATGTCTAAGAGGCAACATGGAACTATTACCCGGATCTGCTTTTTCTATTTTTCCACTAAATGAAATGTCATTTTATTTGACGTGACAGTATTTTCCAAAGCATGACTGTCGGTTCTCTTCTCGGCTGGGATTTTTTTCCAGAAGGTCATATCTGTGTGTCTAAGAGCGGAAAAAAAAATCCTGCAGCCTTCTTTCAGTCATTTGACCAACAGTATGCAGCAACAGGTGGGGGAGGTACCCAGTGTTGCTCTATGCAGTCAGTCGCTCCAGTCACTCCAGTCCTTCCTCTGGCCTCTCATTAAAAACGACTTTAAACAGCTGCTTTTTACACTTTTTTAAAATAAGAGCGTTCAGGACTCCAGACTCTAACATAGCAGAGTGTTTATCTACAGAGTGTTTATCTACAGCTGTTAAATATATAGATTTATTCTGCTGCTTCCTCGTTAATAAAACGTTAAAAGCGCCGTGTTTTCATATTTTCCTGGTAAGGACCAGTCAGACATGAACACCCCCATTCATGGAGCTGCAGATCGTTGGGGAACTGGAGCGTTTTACCAGGAGGAGCGTCATGAAGGGAGGGAGTCTAAAGCTGAACACAACAACACCACAAGCTTCCTGCTGAGATTAATTTCATTATTAATATACTTTTAATAAAAAGGCTCCATCTTTGTTTTAGAGATTTAGTTAAACTGATTTCTGCTGCTGAGTTTATCAAGTCAAAGACTAAAGTTGATCATCAGTTTTAAAATCTATCTGTTCTATGTTTACAAAGGGGATCGACTCACATAGAAGCCACCAAATCACTACTAAAGTTCCTTTAAGGTTCCTTTTAACTGAAATAAATCCGATTTACTCCAAAATAAATCAGATCCAATCAGTTCAATACAAATCCTGGCAGATCATAGAAGGTAATTTGTTATTTTTCTAAATAATTATCCAAACCGGAAAGCAGGGGCCCCCAGAGCGAATGCTGCGGAGGGCCTGTTCCAACAGCAACGAGTCTCTAGGAAGAAGGATGAACTTTGAAGGTTTTAAGGCGGTTAATTCTTTAAACTGTGTACATCTTGATCCCGGCAGGCGGAGCCGTGTCTGCTCTATATAATCAGTGTGTGTGTGTGTGTGTGTGTGTGTGTTCCACTGCAGCCATAGTCAAATAAAAGCTGATGGGCCGTAGGCCTGCCATTACAGCGGGGGCCACACACACACACAGGCCAGTGAACACTGCAGCAATATTGCTCCTCACTGGCTGCACATCCAGCCTCTGTGACATCTGACATTTGGAGGATAAATCCTGGATTCACTGGAATGACCAAGTTCCAGTTAGAATCTGGCCCACGCTGCTCGTCTCCCCGGTCCTCCTGGCTCGCTCTGCACTCACATGAAGGTCACATACATATTTTCACAGTTTTTAGCCTCCCCTCCGTCTCTCTTTCTCTTTATGAACGCGTTCCAACATCATGCAAATGCAGGAGTCAGGTCTAAGTGGGTGATAATTGTTGCCAGAGCATAATGTGCTATCAGAAGTCTGGGCTCCGCTCTGCTTCTTTTGCTGGGAATAATGGGAATTTTAAGGAGGAGGAGGAGAAACTCGCCTCAGAAATGAAGCTTGATATCCAGCCAGAGCAATTAAAGAACATTTTTTTATTTATTTTCTAAACCATTTTGCCTTTGATAAGAAAATCTTATCTTGGATTTCTTTTCTTATTTTCTAAGGAGGGAGAACTCTGAAATCTAAAACCCAGGGTGGCCTTCGTTGGAAGGCTTGAAATGCAGTTTTAAAAAAGAAAGCAAAAAAATAAAAATAAAAACCCTGAGCTGCTGTGAAGCTCACCTCAACTCACTTCAAATAGTTTACATGACTTTTCCCCTTTCAGCTAATAACACCAATTATCAGGCGGTGCAGAGAAATTGGGGGATAAACTCTAGCAACTTTTAGGAGACTGGAGTCTGAAAATAAAAGCACCATTAATATTATTATAAATTACTATAATCAGCCATTCATTACTGTAATGGGGGGGGGCTGTATATTGTTTAAAGCTGTTGGGAAATTATTCAACCAATGAGGAACGAATATATGGAAACACACACATCTAGTCTGCAAGAAGAGTAAGCAGAAAAAATAATAAATGTATAATATATATATATATATATATATATATATATATATATATATATATATATATATATATATATATATATATATATATATATATATATATATATAATTTCCCCCTGCTTGTAAAAAGATTTAGGACTTACTTTTGATTGGTTGAGCTCCAGATGATTGTCTCCAGAGTCTTAGCAGAGGGCAGCGCAGACCTGCACATGAGAATAAAGATCCAGAGGTAATAGTTCCAGCAGCAGCAGCATCCGAGCCCCGCCATGCTGAGCGGATAGATTGAGGGAGCAGCCGGGAACCGGAGCGCAGCGTCGCGCCTTTCTGTGCGCCTCTGGCCGCAGGAAGCTGAGCTGGGATCAGTCTGGAGCCTGAAGGGTCGCTGTCAGATACATGTCCTCCTGTCCGGATCCTTCAGCCTCCTTCTGTCTGTTTGTCCTTGGCTGATCTGGAGGAAAATCACCCCCAACCCCCCCAGCGAGTGTCCGGTATGACCTGTGGCTGAGAACCGCTCCTGTTTGGGGGGTTTTCTTTAACCCTGGGGGGCAAAGAGTAAAAAAAAAAAAGAGAGAGAAACCCTGCAGCCAATGGAGACTAAAGCTCCCCGCTGCTCTCTACCTGCCGCCCGTTTTTAGCCTACAGATGCCCACATTCATCCATCAGTCACCCCGCAGCACGCCAGGAATCTGGAGGTCCTCCTCATTCCAGGCTTATCTGTCACTCCTCCTCCTCCTCTGCTATTCTTCTCCGCAGAGGAATTGAGTTTCTATTGTAAAATCCCTCCCGGCTCTCTGCGCTCCGCTCGGTGAAATGCCAGCGCGTGGAAATGCTCGGTCCCCGCGTGGACAGTCTGAGGATAAAGTGCAGGAAGGCTGAGTGGAAGCAGCCCTGCTGGAGCGGCTCACTAACACTCCTCTCTGTTTCTGCTCCGTTGTTGTTTCCCTAAAATCCTCCAAAATTCACCCCGATGAATGCGTAGACCGGAGTGTGTGTGTGTGTGTGTGCGGTAACCGGAGCTCAGGGCGCAGGGGGGCGGGGCCGAGCGCGCGCCGCGGCCAATCACCGCGCTCTGTCCGAACTTGGAAGCAGGAAGCTGAGGCATTTATTGGGGGGGGGGCGGACCCCCCCGCTCCGGTCCGGGCCGCAGAGCCGCACATAAACGGACTTTGGAGTTAATTCTGCACAGAATAAGAGCGAAACTTTGCCCCCATTTTTATCTGAGCAAATCGATCATAAACTCACTACTTATGTCATAAACGTCACATTATATAGTTTAATTGCACATATTTTGCTGAGCTTGATCATAATAAAAAAAAGCAAACGTGTCGTTTATGATTGTTTTTCTCCTATAAAATGCAGCTGGTTCCAGTACCTGTTAGGGAGATTGCTTCTCTCTGAAGGGAATGATGATTAATGGCCTCTTTGCTTCCCTCCCTGTTTGTCCTCTTTGGGGATAATGAACTGCATGAGAACTTCGTCTCCAGCGTCAATAGACAATAGCGGGTCGGTAGGCCTGTAGTCACCGAGCCATTCATTCAGCGGGGAAGAAATGCTTGACACATAATTGATCATGTCCGTGTCTGTGCCCCCTTTGTGTCGTCCCTTTCTTTTTATTGCCATGCATTTATGCAAACAATGCTGCCCCCTAACGGCGGGAACTAAACCCCCAGCTCAGGCTGTCACTGAGGGGGATTCTGTGTAATTGGGAGGAAAACAGACATTTGGATATATGCGCAATGCTTCCTAAAATTATGCTTTTATAACTTCCTGTTGTCTGCAGACAACCCATAAATCTTAGAGAGACAATAAGCCCAACACATGCTTCAGGCTCCATGCACTATAATTATCTGAGTGTATTTATATGTGTGTGTTTTCCACACAGTGAGATAGCAGGAGCCGTGGCAGCCTGCTGGATGAACCTACCATAGAATCTAACATGGGATGCCAGACTGTGTGATTTTCACAGACTACATGGACACCCGATACAGCGCCTTGTAAAAGTATTCAACCGTAAACCACAGTGGATTTGATCAGGGTTGCATCTAGTAGAGGAGCTGACTGTGCATCATTTAGCTGCAGGTGAAGGATAAGTGACTGGCTTTAAGGACTGAAATGTTTATGTCAGTCAGAGAGGAGGAAAACATTTAACAAAAACACCAACGCTAAATTGAAGCTCTCAGGTCTCAGCTTAACTCTAAACCATTCACACCTACCTCCATGTGACCAACCATCTTTCAATGAACTACCAACATCCTGAGACGAGTCTAATCTGCATTTGAATGTAGATCTAGAGAGCAGCGCACCCCCAAAGCAACCTCTCCTTCACTAGCTTTGAATTAAAAACCTCCGTAGATCAAGAATAACCACAAGAACAGGGGTGGATTTAGAAAATCCAGGGCCTTAGGCAAAGACAGGCAGGGGGCCCCTCTGAATAGAGAAGACAACACATAAATACAGATAGAGAAATGTTAATAGAATAGACATCCATTATCTGTTCTAGGTTGTGTCCCTCTCTTCTTGTCCCTTTTCTTCTTGTTTTCCTCTCTATGTTTTGTACTCAGCTGACTTTTCATGCTGTCTCTAAAGGAATGAAAGATTTTTTCCAAGCACTAAGCTCACATTTACCCCGTTTACACTACCCTTGAATAACCGTGCCAAGACCGGTCCGAGCTCAGTAACTGAGATAACTTATCGTGTGTAAATGGAAAGCAAACTGAACTGAACCAAGCTAGACACAACCGGACCGAGCTAACTGCAGACCGGTTCCAGAGGTGGGCTCGGTTCTCTGATAACAAGAGCGCATGAGCAGAACGCGTCATCTCCGTCTGGCTGCACATCGCGATTCACACTCCATTCCAGTAGTTGGCGGTAATGCCCCTCCAGAAACAGAAGAAGAAGAACGACTTCTTCTTTAACTATAAGCAACAATCGAAATCTTCTCCACGCGACATTTTAAATAATAACACCGAAGTACGGCAATAATAATCAAGCATAACTTTCTGAACATTTGCTTGATTCCCTCCTTCTTCGTCTTCTTCTTCTTGTGTTTTATGGCGGTTGGCAAACAGCTTTTGTTGCATTACCGCCACCAACTGCCTGATTTCCTCCTTCAATACTGGCAGTAATACCGCAGATAGTCACTAGGAGGCGAGAAACCGAGATAGCGTGATGTGTAAACGGTCGTCAGAACCGAGCTCGGACCGGTCTCAGCGTGGATCGGTTTTTCAAGGGTAGAGTAAATGAAGTATTAGCTGATTGCTCCTTCCTGTGTTTCCAAAAAGGCCAAAGTAAATAACCCAGTCCTTCTTTTCACTGTAGACAAGCCATGATCTGCTTATCTGGAAATAACTCTTCAGCCAATCAGTTGGTCACAGTGGGATACCTGATCTGCTGCTACCCAATGAGAAACCTCCGGTTTTGGAGCTCTGAAGGACGCCACAGCTGCAGCCAAAGCTCCTTAACCAAAAGCGACATGACTTCAACAGGGGCGATTGCTGTGAGCAAGTTTCTGTTGTCAGGAGCAAAACCAAACAGCAGCTTCCGCGTCCGCAAACACTTCAGCAGCAATGTGCAATTTTACAGAGATTTGCCTCGGGAACAAGTGAGAGTAATATGGAACAGCAGTTTGTAAGCAGCTCTGCACACATAGAGGAACGAAATACCCTCAGAGTCACGACAGGAGGATTACAGTAGCGACAGATTGACCGTCCCTGTATTTTACAGAGTTCTTGCTAGAAGCTTTATTCAGAGGATGTAAGTACAAACAGCAATACTGTTCCCGTTGAGTCACGTTGTTAAAGACAATATGAGTTTCTTTCCTCCCCTCAGATACTTCAGAGAGTGAGATCATCATGGTAATGTTTATTTATGCTTGTATAAATAGCCAATTTGCACTTTAATATCACTGCTGCCTGAAGAGTGCAGCTGTTGGGGGGAATTCACAGTGGAAACATTCTTCTGTTTGTGCCACAAAATCATTGCAAAAAAAAAAGGAAAAGTCCAACAAAGACCTCAGCTAAAACACACTGACTGTCAAAGCCCAGATGTTAAGCAGGCCTGGTGTTTACTGACTTTTTGACCTTTGATTTAGTGCTACAACGTGCAGCTGAGGATGATTAGAGCGCCACCACTTTGGGTATTATTTTAATCCAAAGTACGGCGTTTGCTCCATATTTTGGATGAATGTTCCCGTCGGTCGAGCTGATCATCCTGAGGGGGACATAAATGTGCAGAGACATTTTTTTTTTTTGGCCCACTGGAAATGGATAAATGGCCGCTGAGCGTTACGAAGCATAAAGACAGCATAATGGTCTTGGCTGAACTCAGCGACATCCGTATCTGTTGCAGATTTTAGCGCGCTGCGTCCAAACCCTGTCAAGCCTTTTTCACCACGAGCCAAAAAAAACGTGCGGCCAAAGGATTCTTTCTGAGCGAACAACTGCAACTAAGAGCCGTCTGGGAGGGTTGATCTTGTTTAAACAAGTTAAAGATTAAAGCATGTTAATGATGAACGCATTGATAATAAAACTGTGACGGGAACCGTCAAATCTTCTGCTGCATCTTATCTCATTTGCTGATGTTTAACTATGTGGATCTCTCATTAATTTCTCATCTGATTTCTCCTTTTAAAGAGCTTAAAGAGACTTACTCCTTTAGAGCTTTTTTTGTTTGTTTCATGCATGGAAAACACAAAGTTTTCTTATCTTTCTGCACTGTTCTAATGAGGCCCCTGTCTCTTTAAAACCAGCCCTGCATAAAAGGGTCACTTTACTCTAGTTGGTTGTCTGGATGGTTAAAAATTGCACAGAGGAGGCAGCTGCCATCTGCTAAGTCGCTGTTTGTGGTTTGCATAACCGGCCACTATGGGAGGATAATACTTAAGAGTTCCATGATGATACAGATAAAGTTAAGCTAGAAAATGCTTGAGTTCAAACGGGGCTTTGCTAATTATTTGTGGTGAGAATATTTACATATTTTAAAAAATCAGAACAATCCAGGAAGGAGAGAAAATACATTTAGTTATTTTAAACAGTGTTGCTTTGAGGTGATGTCATGTGGAGGATCGACCTCAGCTCTCACCCACTGACTGCTGGAAGAAAACACCAGCTCCTGTGATTGAAACCTTCTAAGTAAAGTCCCAACTTTACTTGCCTTCATATTCTATTCAGTTTATTTCTATAGCTCCAATTCACATCATGTCATCTCAGGTCACTTTCCAGTTCACCAGATCATCCAGTCAGATTGATTCAAAGTTTTCTATCTAAGGAAAACCAGCTGATTGCATCGACTCATTGACTCTTCAGCAATCCCTCACACTAAGCATGCTTGTAGCGACAGTGGAGAGGAAAAACTCCCTTTGAACAGGAAGAAACCTCCAGCAGAACCAGGCTCAGTGTGAGCGGCCATCTGCTGAGGCCCACTGGGGTTCAAGGAGACAGAAGCAGACATAGAAAAAGAAGCATAGATACAAAAGGCAACTGTCAACCAGCTCCACAGGCGGCCCCGTCCAGGAAACACACAGCCAGGCAGACGAGCTCCGAGCCAGCTCCTATGTCAGAGGATGAAGAGAGCACATCCAGTTAGTCACAGTCAGAGAAACAGGACTACACTGGAAAACAGGCCAAGCTCCTACATCTAGAAACAAAGGTGTTGATGGCAGCAGCACAGCTGATATTTCTCTCCAGGATGGAGTCACAGCCAAACAGGAACAGACCAGATGAAGCTACTATGAGAAAAAGCAGAGAGAGCAGAACGTTAGTGATTGAACTAACAGATTCTGCAGAGTGGGAGAATAGAGATAGAATGAAGCAGAATGATGAAATAGGGGTCCCTATGTCCTCCAGCAGTCTAAGCCTATAGCAGCAGAACTATAGAGATAGATCAGCATAACCTGAGCCACTCTAACTAGAAGCTTTATCAAAAAGGAAAGTTTTAAGCCTAGCCTTAAAAGTAGACAGGGTGTCTGCCTCACGGACTAAAACTGGTAGTTGGTTCCACAGGAGA